CTCCCATGCTGGGATTACAGGCATACACCATCATGCCCTTCTTGGAGTACATGTTTTTGAAGTAGTTAATAATGATCTGGATTTTGGTAGTGTCTTTAAATTTCTAATTGCATTGACATGGACTTTTCTTCTTTCTGGTAAATCTGGATAAAGGTTTCTTTATTGTTTCAAAGAACCAACTCTTTGATTCATTCATTCTTTGTAGTGCTTTTTTAAAAATCTGTTTCACTAATTTCTGCTCTGATCTTTATAATTACCTTCCTTGTAATATCTTTGGATTTGGATTGTTCTTGTTTCCTGGAGGTGCATCCTTAGGTTATTTATTTGGGCTGTTTTTCTGATGTGGGGATTCATAGCTATAAACTTCCCACTTAGGACTGCTTTCATTGTGTCCCTTTAATTCTGGAATGTTGTACTGGCATTATCAATTAATTCTAGAAACTAATTTTTCTTTGATTTCTTCTGTGACCCATTGATACTGAAGAGCCTATTGTTTAGTTTCCATATGTTTCAATAATTTCTGTTGTCATCGATTTCTTATTTCATTGTAATACAATCTGATAATATGCATGGAATAATTTTAATTATTTTGTATTTGTTTAAACATGCTTCATGGACCAGTCCCTTAACCAATATGTAGTGATTTTATTTGCCTCTCTGATCAGTTTTGGGTTGATACTCTATGAATTTCATTTTGGATTGTATCTCTTGCATGCAGAATACAGTTGGGTTTTATTTTTTGATCCACTCTGTCAATCTGTGTCTTTTGACTGGGGATTTAACACCTTTCACATTGAGAATACTGAAAGGTGTTGACTTATTCCTATAATTACATTATCTTTATGTTGCTGAGCTCTCCCCTCTTCTGCTTAACTCCTCACCCTGCCTTGTGTATCATTCCCTTAGACTTTTTTGGCATCTTTGGATTCATTTTCTCTGTAGAGGATATTCTTGAAAATTTTTTGGAGTACTGGTTTGGTGTTCATGAATTTCTTAAATTATTCCTTGTGAAGAAAGACTTTATTTCTCCTTCAATTCTGAAAGACAGTTTTCTACGGGTTGGAAGTTGCTTTATTTTAGGGCTTGAAACAGTACTACAGACTCTTCTGGCATTTAAGGTTTGTATTGAAATGCCTGCTATAATTCTAGTGGCTTTACCTTTATAAGTGATTTGTTGCTTTTCTTTTTTCTTTTTTTTTGGTTTTTGAGACTGGGTCTCACTGTGTAGTTGAGACTGATCTGGAACAGCAATCCTCCTGCCTCAGCCTCCGAGTGCTATAATTACAGGCATGCGCCACCACTCCTGGCTTGATTTGTTGCTTTTCTATAACAGCATTTTTTTTTTCCATACCAGGGATCCAACTCAGGACTTTATGCTTATGAGGCAAGCACAGCACCACTGAGCTAAATCCCCAACCAGCTTTCAAAATTCTATCCTTGTGTTGGATTTCTGGTATTTTGACTACAATGTGTTGTGGAGATGTTCTTTTCAGATCCTGCCAATTTGGAGTTCTATATGCCTTGTTTACTTCTACGTTAAAGTATTTCTCCATACTTGTAAAGTTTTCTGCTATGATTTTGGTAAATAGAATTTTTTTAATACCATTCATGCCATCTTCTGATTTTTTCTGCTACTTCCAAGTAATCTTACGTTAGTAACCTTGGTATCATCTAGCAGCTGTTGGATCCATTTTCCATGATCTCATGCTTTTAAGGTTTCTCTGCGTATATGGTCACCAACATCAGCCCAGTCTTCTAGTTCTGACATTGTCCTCACACTGGTCACTTTCATTGCCTATACTTTCAAATAGAATTTTTTTATCTCCTAGATTTCTGCTCGGTACCTTTCTTGGACTCTATGTGCTAAACTGGTCATTCATATTTCATATCGTTTACCTCAGCTAGTATTTTATTAGTGTCTTATTTAATCTCATTAATATTTTAAGTCCATTGCCTGTTTAGTTATATCATCTTTGAGCTTGCAGAGCACATTAATCATCTTTTTAAAATCTTCTTTTATCACTTTGCATAACTCACACATTTGGCTTTTTATTCCCTCCCTAACTGTGCCCCACGGATCAGCTTTAGGGAAGCTGGGTGTTTTTGGAGGCATTTTGCTGCCTTGTCTTTTTATGTTTCATGTGTGTGTGTGCACATGCACTGAGTGTTGAGGGTCAGTTAGAGTAGAAAGACTTTGCTGCTAGTACGGATATCTCTTTAGTTGATATCTGCTTTCCATCAATGTGATCCTAGCTTTGTTTTTATTGTGGTATTTAACTACCTCTTCAACCTACTCAGCTTAATAAAATTGAACCCAGTTGCTGTTTAATGACTGCTGTGCTACATCCCTACCAGTTATCTCAATGTCAGCAGAGCCAAGCATACATCAGTCATGTACATTAAAACTTATTTTACCAGTTTTGCCCTTTTATCAATGCCTCTTACAAATTATACTATATTGCTACTAACAGGTAGACAGGGATTTAGGGGGTTGTAAGGACAAATTTTATTTATTGCCCTTTGCCGTGCACGGTCTCCTAATTAATTTGGCTCGATCCGCTAAAAGAACGTCCACCAGCCTTAAATAAGTACAAAAGGGAAAGTTTATTGAAGGATATGCGCATACAGAAAACAAAAGTAAGAATGGAGAGGACAAAGAAAGAGGAGAGTCCTCTAACAGCAAGAGGGACTCTATCCGGGAAATTACCCTTAGGCTCTCTGGCAACAACACCGGAATGTTGGAGGAATTAGGTCCATCACTCACAACACAGCACGGGTCTCTTCAGCAATCCCTTCGGCTACAGGTCTCAATCCCAGGCGTAAGACAGCAGCCACAGCCTGGACTAGGTGGGCTGTTTTTATAGCTCTCTAGACAAAGGTAGTAAAACTACCTGAACTTTTGGCATGAAAAAGGTGAATGTGCTTGCAGTCACGTCCCAACCAGGTCCTGGCCAGGGGTCCGGGAGGGGCGGAATGCCTCACATTCCTTATCTTGATGTTAAGAACATCTGGTCTTTTTAACAAAGTCCTTCCTGCTTTTTTCCAGGGAACTGGCCAGGTATCCAGGGAAAGAAGAGGTGAACTAGTGATTATGCGCCTTAGAGAGCAGAAAGCCTTAACCCAAGCCTTTCCAATTTAAAGTTTTAACTTTCCTTACATTTGGTCCTAGGGTTGGGTTGAGGCATAGGCATAACTAACATGGAACTTTTGTAATACAAAAGATTGATATAACTTGTTCATTTTTTGATACATCCAACAATTACAGATACAAAGAATTATTAAAGCCAAAATGATCAATAATACAGGCGTAAATATTACGGAAAAATACTGTTGAGCAGTAGAACTAGTGAACAGAAAATCCCACCACCTGTGATTGGCATCCTGTATAACTGCATTGTGCAGACTTAATAACTTATTTTTAACAATTGTAGTAGCTATTCTATGTTCTTCTAAAGCCTTTTCATTTTTTCGTAGGTGGGCCTTTAGCTCAGCAGAATTATGAAGTATTTCAGCTAAAGAAAGATCTAAATATATATGAGGTGGCTTCAGATATTTTGGTATCCATTGAAGAGTAACATCATCCATTAGATCGGGCAATAAATAATAAACAGCACCGTTCCAATGGAGCAACTCAAGATGCTGCAGACATCCTGAGAAAGGAGAGGGCAGTCCCACATTGAAGAGTTCTGATTCATTGGCGCCTGCTAAACATATGTGTTGGGGTTCCACCTCATATAAAATAGAATAGTTAGCAACAGGATATACAGTAAGAAGACAAACATTAGTGGAATGAGATAACAGACATGGTTCTACTATTCGGGTTAAACCATTACATATAGGACCTCTATCTGTAGGAACACATTCTTCTAATTTATAAGTAACATTATCATTATCTATATGAGTACCTTCTATTTGAGGATGTAAAAAGTGATCTTCTACTACTATAGGCAATGTGTGAAAAGCACACAAAATTTTAGTTTGTATAGGAGTATAATATACAATAGTACCTACACACCAAAGATCAGTGCAATTTACAAAAGAAGTATCTGACATCACCCAAACTGTTTCAGGTAAACTAAATAACAAACGCCAAATTCGAGGGTTCCCTTGTGTAAGTACTCTTTGGGCATTTTCTTTTTGTATCAAAATGTATAAATTTTGCAGGGAACATATGGTCCAATTGAATAAGGCAGAGGTATTGGTATTTAACTTATACTGTTTTATGATGGTGTCATTAAATATTCGTAACATATGCGTTTGATAATTTAAAGTATTTTCATGAGGTAAAATAGTAGTTGGCAACCATTGAGCATTAACTGTTATAGCTTCTCCTACATCTTGCCCAGTATTTTTTAATCTGTGAGCCAAAACTTCTAAATCTATTGAATTAGCTATCCCAAAACCAGATCCCAATCCTCCTAAAAGGGTATCATACCAAGCACGTTTAACTCGTTGACAATCAGGTATTAGAGGAAAAGTCAGATTGAAATGGATTACTCTTTTAGGAGCAATAACAGATACATTTGTACAGGTTCTAGGGATTCTCACAATTTGAGAAGTGGAATTATAATTAGAGGATCTAATGGTTATCCAAATAATGTCCATCCATTCTGTCCTGTTTCTAATTTGAGTAGAATTTTTACACCAAACAAATTGGGAAGTATTAACTTGTATTTGTCCAGTATAGTTCTTTTCGCTTTGGTTACATCGCCTTATTGCATCCAACAAATTGTGTCTATAATTAACGGGAAAAGAAGCATTTACGGAGCAACAGGTAACATTAACAACAGAAGATTCCAGAGTTAGATTAATAGATGAAGAACTTAATAACACATCTCTATATCTATATTTTTCCCATCCTCTTGTGATATTATGTTCTGATGTAGCGGTAATATTCTAAAATTCACCATATAGCAGGGCAAACATAGGAATCTTGTTGACAATCTCTGTCAGAATTTTTCCATCCGAATTGCCATTGAACTATAGTACTAGGTGTGTTCTTCGGTTGAAATTGAAGTCCTGGAGTCCAGGTAAGCACAGTAATCATCAGTCCTGAGAAGCAAAGCAATCTGAAAAGCTAATTTCTTTAAAAAAGTTGATTAGTGGGGACAGTTAAGTAGTGTTCTTGACCTGGAAGCATAATAATAACTGCATTATTATCTCCTTGAGCAATGACTTCTGCAGGCTGTGGTTTATCTCCATCATGTCTCTTGAGCCAAACTTTAGCTCCAGGGATCAAATTAGTTGATCCAAAACCTCCTAACCTGCTAGTTACTGGAGGAGGCTTATCTAACAAAGTCCATTCCTTAGCTGTTGCACAAGGAATGATCAGTAATTGAGCAATTCGAGTTCCAGGAACAAAATGTAAAGTTTCTTTTCCTATATTAGAAAGAATTATCTTAATTTCTCCCCTATAATCGGAATCAATTATTCCAGCTAAAATTTGAATTCCTTTTTCAGCCAGACTAGAACGGGGAGCAATTTGTCCATAATATCCTTGTGGGATTTTGATCCCTATCCCCGTCCTACATTTTAATATATTTTGAGGATCTATCCATATTTCTTCTAAAGCATGTAAATCATGACCAGAAGATCCAATGGTGGCTCTAAAAGGCATAATTGCCTTCTCATCTATTTTCCACCATTGTACTTCTTGAAAAGTATAGATCTTTCTTATCTGTAAGTTAGGTGTCATCATTCTCATAAGTGGAGTTAGTCCCGGTCCTATGGGCCAGTTATTTAATTGTTGCAAGGCTTCAAATAAATTATCTTTCCAATTATTATAAGAATTATTACCTAGTTTTCTAAGTTTTTCTTTCAGCAAACCATTCATTCTTTCTATTAAGCCTGAAGCTTGTGGATAATAAGGAATATGATAGATCCATTCAATATTGTTTTGTTCAGCATAATCTTGTATTTCTTTTCCTTTAAAATGGGATCCATTATCACTTTGAATTTGCATTGGCATTCCATAATACAATGCAATTATCTCTAAAGTTTTAATAGTATTCTTTTGCACAGCTCTACGGTATGCACAGGCGACTAGCACTCCCGAATAAGTATCCACACAAGTGCAAATATATTGACATCCCCTTGATTGTGGAAGAGGACCTATATAATCAATTTGCCAAATTTGTGCAGGAGCTTGTCCTCTATGCAATTCTCCAGTTATTATACGAGGGAGCGCTCGCTTTCTGTCCAATTGACATGTAGGACATTGCTCTACTACTTGCTTTAATTCAGACAAAGGTGTGGATAGTCCTCGGTCTTGTGCCCACCTGTACATAGCGTGAGTTCCTGCATGTCCTGTTTTGGTATGGATCCATTTTGCCAATCCTTCCAAGGGAGGAGGGAGATTCACTTCAGCAATTGTAGCTAATCGATGAGCTTCAGCGTTGTACTTACGGTCAGTAGAATTCAAGGTGCTATGAGCATCTACATGAAAAACAGACACGTTAGTTTTTTGCACAATTTGCCATATTTCATTCCATATTTCCTGGACTTTTAAAACACTGTTTCTTTAAAAAAAAAAAAAAAAAAAACTGTTTTTTTTTTTTAACCTAGAATGCAGAGCTAACTTCCTCACTTTTGTGGCTTTCTCAACAGCATGTTATTTAAGGTTTATAAGGTGTGATAAAAATGTGAATGTTTAACAATTTTTGGAAACTTTATTACAATAAAAGACACGTTCTGGAAACCACAAGGACCCGAGTTCCACCCCCAGAACCAAAAAAAAAAAAAAAAAAAAAAAAAAAATACCTTGTTATTAATTCCTCTCAGGATAGTCTCCTCTCCCTTTGAACATGCTTTTTTTTTTTTTGTAATATATATACAGGGGATCGAACTCAGGACCTTTCACATGTGAGGCAGGTGACAGCACCGTGAGCTGTATCCCTGGCCATCTCTGAACAAATGTACCCCATCACTTTCTACTTTCTGAACCAATTCTGAAAGTCTTCTTCCCTGTTTTTATTTACATTTTCATGGCTGCCTCAGTGTCTTAAATTGATTTGAAACATTGCCTTTCGCGGTCATCTTGACCTTAGGAAAGTGCCCAAAGTTTCCTGGCGCCATATCCATAAATGAAGGGGAAAAGGGTGCACCGTAATCATGCTCAAGCCTGCCTTTCTGTTACACGGTGCGCAACAGCGATATGCGCCGTATTTTTTTTTATCACGGCTCATAAACGCACTCATGAAAGAGGACTACCACAACTGCTTCAGAAACTAACAAGAATGACAGGATAAATATGTTCCAAGCAAGGGAGAGTATTCTGAGAGGGATTCATGGCAAAGTGTCTTACTGTAATAAATATTTTAAAATGTGGGGCCAGGAATTTAGCTGAGTGGTTTCGCCACCTGCCTTGCAAGATCAAGGTCCCGAGTTAATCCCCGGTACCAAAAAATAATAATAAAAATAAAAATGTAAGCTTTTCCTATATATTTCAATCACACCTCATATTTAAGGAAATTCTTGGTGAAGCAAGAAAATTGGCAAGAGCACAAAGTTCTTTTTCACCTCTGCTTGTCCCTTACTTTCTAAAACAAAACAAGAAAATCTATGTGGTGATACAGTGCTTAAATTTTGGAGAATGAGATGAGAAGGCATGGGAGGAAAGAAAGTACGCTGGCTTTTCCTTTACAGGGAAAAGCAATAGCCTTCAACACATACCAAATATTTATGTTAATTCTATAAGTAACAGGATCGCCCACTGTGTATTTACCATTGAAGAGTAGTGAAAACACCAGAGGAAAAAATAGGAAGCAAAGGTTCAAAGGGGAAGGGGAAGTAGGAGGGTTGAGAGAAAGGAAAGAAGGGAAAGAAAAAAAAATGAGAAAAGATGGAAATAAAGCTTTTATAAATAGGAAGGAATGGAGGGGTGGGAGGGAAGGGGAATGGGAACAAACAAGAACTAAGGTGTATCGTGTAAAGGTTCAAAGTCCCAATGATCAATGTGATCATAATGTGTATCTAACATGTACCAATAAAGTAAATTTTATTTATTTATTTATTTGGGTACCGAGGGGTCAAACTCGGGCCCATGCGCTTGTGAGCGAATTGACGAGCTACTGGGCCAATCAATAAAGTAATTTTTTTTTAATTTTAAAAAGAGTTCATAGTAAGGCAACTAAGGTCAATAGCTTGAACTGTGTAGCAATGTTTAAATTCGCTCAAAGATCACTACAGAGCATACTTATCTTTTTATGTGATCTATGAAAGTGACCAAATATAAACTGAGCTAAATAAACATTGTAAAAGTATACTTCATGTAAGATAAAATTCATGCTATAAATTTTTTTAAAATATCAACAATGAATGGAATGCCAGCGTGAAATTCTGGAATCAGTATCATCTAAGGTATGTTAGTCTGTAAATAGCCAAAAGCTTCTCCTACTGAAGATGAGATGTGAAGATAAGATATGAAAGCTTTTTTGTGTGAAGGCTTCTTAAAGAGAGTATTGTGACTCTAATGGCACAATCATCAAGAGTTTGACTCTGCCAACTCTTGCACATTTTATTAGTTGAAGTCATTTTATGGGCTATAAAGACCACATCCAAATGCTTTAACAGAGCAAAATGATATATTTATGGAGCCAAAGAAAAGATTAAAATTCTTTTACTATAATCCCAGAGTGAAACATTCTTCCTTCTAGCTTTTGAATACTATATATTAATTGGTTTAAGAAGATAAAGATCCATGAAATCACCACTACAGTGAGACACACTGTGCATACAGATACACCGTGATTCCTCACAAGTTACTTCAGGAAATGTAGGCCAACAATTTTAAGTACATCCACCCTCCATACGTTCCCAGCCCCCCTTTTCAGTTAAGAAGGGTTTCTTTTTTTTATAAGTGATCACTCTATGACCCCTTTCTACCACACAACCTCAGTGTTTCCATAAGACCACACCTGTCCATACAGAAAATCAAATCTTCCTAGGTGTCTAGTGATTAAATAAAAAATGTGTAGGCAGCCCAAGCCAGACTGTTCAACCTGCACTGGAAAGAAAAAGGAAAGAGGGAGAAAGAGGAGAAGACAGGAGGGGAGGGGAAGATGAGAGGAAGGAAGAGAGGAAGGAAGGGGGCAGAAGAAGGCATAGAGAAGCAGGAGGGGAAAGAGGCTTACAACATCAAAAAGAATACCGCACCTGCCTGGCAAGTGCAAGGTCCTGAGTTCAATCCCTGATATTGGGAAAAAAGAAAGAAAAAGAAAAAAATGCTCAGGAATAATAAATTTAATGAGGAAGCAAAAGACTTGAACTCTGCAAATTACAAGACATCAGTGAAGGAACTTTAAGACACAAAAGTAATGGAAAAAGTATCAATATTCATAGGTTAGAAGACTTAAATAGCATTAGCATGCCAATCTTGGGATTCAATGCAGTCTCTATCAATACCCCAGTGGTAACTGTTTCAGAAATAGAAAAATCCATCCTAAAGATCATATGGAAAAACAATGGATCCTGCATAGCTGGTGCCATTGTTGCAGAAGAAATTGGCAAGCGACATGCACATGGAGATGAGCTGAATGGAAGTAAAGTAATAAAAAGTTTATTTTGCCAGTAAAAGTTGGTTGTATTCAAAAGGCAGTGCCAGTGATCGACCTCCTATTGGGTTGCGGCTCCCTCTTTTATAGGGTTTTATAGTTATGACCTTTCAGGTGGTTATATTTTCTCAGTTCATATTATCCATGTACAAATTACAGTAACCAGTTAACTTTAACCCAGATGTAACAATTCCTTGTAGTTAGGGAGTTCACCTCAAGATTCATCTATTCTAGTGCCCAGGAAAGGGGTATTCAAAGTTAGGGATGAGGCCAGACATCCCGCTTCATGCTCAGTGCCTCCAGTGTCTGTTAATTTTAAGCTAAATAAGCAGACTGCTGTTAAGAGACAGCAGAAGTCATTTTACATTTTCCTAACATTTTGTAGGTTTTTAGACTATTTACAAAAGTTCTCTGTGTCACCATCTTGAACAGTTATCAAGGCACTGCAGTGCTGAGCTGGGCATGGCAGCACAGTCCTGTACTTCCCACACTCCAGGGGCTGAGGCAGGAGGGTAGCCATGAGCTCAAGGCCAGCCTGGGCTACACACCCCATCTAGGAACAAAACAGAAAAGCAGTGTAGTGCTATAAGAAGAAATGCTATAGACCAACAAAGAACAGATGAGTAGCCCAAAATAAACCTTCATTTATGTGGTGAAATGAATTCAACAAGGATGCCAGTACCATTCAATGCAGAAATAAGCCTTTTCAATAAGTTTTGCCAAAACTGGATATTTGCATGCATTATAGAATATACAAAAAACACTGTAAAATGGATAAAAGACCTGCCAGTAAAAGCTAAAACTGAGAGCTTTTATAAGACAACTGTGGAGGAGCTTCCTCATGCACTGGTAGCATCTGTGAGTCTGGGAGGCAGAACACTCACACATGAAAGGTGACCTGTTGCACATGGGCAGCAAGAGAAAGCAGGAGCCTAGGGTGCATGGCAAGCACATCCAACACTCAGGAAAGCTTCCCAGGGTGGACACTTATCTCCATGTGTTCAGAATGAGAACTGACCCCACTGATAAGATTTAATATTAATGTACAGTGGGAGGATTGTCAACTTAATTGATCGGCAGCTGCCTGGGATAGTGGTAAAGCACATTTGTGGGTGTCTGGTGAGTCATGGAGGACTTGGGTACTGGTCCCTAACCCTTTCTCTCCGGCACTGTTCCCCTGCTCTGCTTTGGCTGTCACGAACTGAGCAGCCTTGTTCTGCCAGGTCCTTCCACCATGATGCTCCTGCCTTAGAGCCGGTGTACCATGGACTGAACCCTCTGGGGAAAGAACTTTCCTCCTTTGAATTTTTGGTGTTGATTACTTTGTAAGAGCAATGGAAATATATATCTAATATATATTCTAAAATATAGCAGCTTTAACGACAATATACAAATATATTAATGGAACAGAATACAGAGTCCCTAAATTGACTCAAAATAGTACCATCAACTAATCTTTCACAAAGGGGAAAAACCAATTTAATGGAGAAAAGACAGCCTTTGAAACAACTCATGCTGAAGCAAATACTTACATTTTTTTAAAAAAAAGATATCTACAGAAAAATCTTACACTTTTAACAAAAATTAATTCAAGGTAGATCATAGACCTAAATGTGAAATGTAACACTATAAATCTCCTAGAAGATAACACAAGAGAAAATCTAGGTGACCTTGGGTTTGGTGATGACTTTTTTTTTTTTTTTTTTTTTTGGTACTGGGGATTGAACTCGGGACACTGTGCTTGTGAGGCACGCAGCGGAACTACTGAGCTAAATCCCCAGCCCTTGGTGATGACTTTTTAGAGACAAAACTAAAATCACATTTCATGAAAGAAAAAGATGTATAGATGGGACTTCGTTAAAACTAAAAACATTTGCTCTGTGGATAACACTTTAATAGAATGAAAAGACCAGCCAACGATTTAAGTAAATTTTTGTAAAAATATATCAGATACAGAACTATATATCAAAATATATTTAAGAACCTCAAAAATATAAAAATGATCCCATTTGTAAAAGGTTAAACCTGTTATTAGCATTAAGGTATTGGCAGTATGAAAATACTCTTTTAAAGTTAAGCAAAGTAGAGAAACTGTCTAAATACTCAGCTAATAACTGATGGAGTCAGTAATTTGAATCACATGTCCAACCCTGGGTAAACTTTACCAACTGTTTACTTAATGATCATCTTGTCTGAGATGAAACAGGAAATTTGGTGAGGTAGTCGAATTGGCACTTCAGGTGATTCTCAGTGATGGCGAACCTTTTAGAGGTTCAATGATAATAAACAGCTGGAGGCGGCACATGTATCATAGGCTGGCCACCACTGGCACAGACTATGAAATCGAAATTATTGACATTTATAATTCTGAAAGAGCAAAGACTGACTGTGACACAGAAATTTTCCATAATTTTTCAGAAATATTCTCTTTTGCAGTTCTACCAATCAATAATGATCCATTTGCTAAGAGCACACTTTGGCCCATATAATTCATAGTGAGTAGGTTTGACCTGTGAAATGGATTGTATCAATCAGGCTTCACCTAGAAAAATAGATCCACCAAGAAGTAGATACCTACATAGTCATAGTCTTACAGGGAACTGGTTTGCACAGCTGTGAAAACTGGATCATAGTATCTGTAAACCTGTTATTGCTGTATACTATGCTAGAGTTTGTAAGCAAGCAGCAGGAAGGGAAGATGGTTACAAAGTAGAGGAGATCCAAAACATGGTGCAAGCCCCAATCTAACTTGGGACACCAGAAACACAGAATTTATGTCGGTTCCATTGTCTTTGATTTTGGGAACAGAAATATCCTGCAGAAGCAGCCAAGGCCTTTGTCAGAGCTCATCAGCACATATACCTGGCCTACAAAACAGAAACAAGAGAGGGACAGAGAGCAGGGAGAACAGGTAGTACTTCACACCTGGGAGAGAAATCAGCAGGTGAACAGCGCGTGTTGATTCCTGTGGATTTGGCCTACTACTCGCTAGACCTAATTCATAAGTATTTAGATTTTTGTATTTGTTTGTTTTGTACTATTGTGAGTTTATTTTTGATTAAAATTCCTAACTGGAAATTGTTGAAATATAGGAAAGCTATTGATTTGTGGAAGTGAACTCCCTATCTAACAAGTTTTCTGAAACGTTTATTTCTAGTAACTTTTAGCTTTTCTGCATTTTCTAGGTAGGTGGACTTACTGTATTCAATAGTACTTTTGTTTGTTTTACCCACATTTGCATCTCTTATTTTTGATTGTCTTATTGTACTGGTTAGGATGAAGTTAGGACTAGCTGGTTTCTCCTATTTCCACAGCTATGACGAACTTGGTCCTGCTGCCACTTCCTGTCCTGGCACTTTTGCCATGAGCCACCCTCTGGTTGAGAGTTTACTTTATTGAGAAAATAGTTTTCAGGGATCCATTACAGTAAAAGTGGCTGCTAGCAGCAGCCCAATACAATGAGGAGAGAGAAAAGCCTGGTTGTCCCATCTCCTTCAGATAGAATTTTTTAATTACCTGATCATTTCCCCAAGAATCTTTTATAGGTCCTTGCATTTAACTCTGGAATTTTGTTGGAAATTATGATGGCACTTGTGGCATGGGCTGTGGTTTGTCTTTCTCTATTTTTCGGTTTCAGTCAGCTTCTGTCAGAAAGGGATTCAGGAATGCTAAAGGTAGTTTCTATCATTTCAGTGAGATTCAGAGCAGAAGGAAGAATTACATAGGCGTTCAGTCTCTCCCTCCCCACTTTTTCCTTCTTTTTTATTTCTTTCTCTTTGTGTTCCTGGGGATGGAGTACAAGGCCTTCATATTGAGCTACATTCCTAGCTCCTTTTATTTTTTACCTTGAGACAGAGTCTTGCTCAATTGTCCAAGTTGGGCTCCCACTTGCCATTTTCCTGCCTTAGCCTCCCAGAGTGCTGGGATTACAGGTGTGCACCACCAGCCAGGCCTACATGTTGATCTAATTTCTCCCACTTCTGAAGCTTTAACCTTTCTTCTTCATTTTGTTTCTTGAATACAACATAAATTATTGTTTTTTTCCTTATACTCGGTTATAAAATGAAGCAAAAGCTTCCACTCCTTTTCCACCTCTCTTCTAGCTCCTCAGCAAAAAGGAATGGTTGTTCCTATAAAATAGTTTGGATTCTGGAACACAGATGAAGCCATATTTATCAGCAGGTTTCTTAGTCACTTTCCTGTCACTGGGGCAAAATATTTGACACTCACAACTTACAGGAAGAGAGGTTTGTTTTGGTTTATGGTTTTAGTCCCTGGTTGTCTGGTTCCAGGGCAGAAAAAGGATGGCAGAGGACCATAGCAGGGGAAGAGTGTTCAACCGATGGCAGTGAAGAAGCAGAGAGAGAAGGGAGAAGACAGGGCCAAGAATACACCCGTCCAAGGCTGGGGATTTCGCTCAGTGGTTCTGCCACCTGCCTCCCAAGCACTAAGTTCAGAGTTCGATCTCTGGTACCAAAAAAAACAAAAACACTCTTTCAGGTCCTGCATCCAATGACTTACCTCCAACCAGACTCTGCCTCCTAATACCCAACTATGATCCAATCATGTTCCAAACACATTGACAATTGGAGGACATGTTACATCTAAGCCATAATAGTGGGCAAAGTCACTATATACTCAAATTTTCCTTACATAGATCCTCTAAACATCAAGAAGAAAATGATCAGCAATCTAACAGGAAAATGGGCAAAGGACATAATCAGTTTATAGAAAAAGAATTCACATATAAAATAGTGCTTAATACCAATTTCATTCTTAATAAGAGACATGCAAATTAAAAGCACCCTGAGATACTTCTTACCTATCAACTCAGCAAAACCCAAAACTTTCTCAACATACTCGTCTGGCAAGGTTGTGATGATATAGTGATCTTTATACATTGTTGCTAAGAGATAAAACTGGTATAATCCCTCAGAAGGGTAATTCTGCCAAAATTACAAATTTCATTTGACACAGAAAACCCTCTTACGAAAATTATATCACTAAAGGTATATATATCTGCCCATAGGGGAAATACCTGTGAGGTAAAGTATGCACAAGGTTATTCACTGTAGCACTGTCTATAAAGGAGAAGTAGAAGAGTTTGTTAGATCTGCCTAGTCCTTGCTTCATCAAAGGGATCTTCTTCAGTCCTTCCAATATGACAAACTGTGAGCAGTGGAAAAACTGGAAAGGTGGGTAGTATAAGGGCACTAAGAATATAGTGTTTGAGGTTGTATTATTCATTCGTTTATGCAACAAATATTCATTGTCACTTACTCTATGTCCAACTGTTATGGGGTCTGAGAGATGGTACATACCAGTGGCTGAGGAAAAAAGTCTTATCATCAAGGGTCAATTATAATGAGAAAATCATTATATGAACAAATAGATATATAATATCGGCTCTGTACATAATAGGAAAAAACTGGAAATAGTCCGAGTGTCTATCTCATAGGTTACTGGTTACATAAACTATGGTGCAGTCCCACAATGGAATATTGTGTGGCAGTGAAATAACATAGGAAAGCTTTCATTACACTGATAGAGAAGTATATCACAGATATATTGTTAAATGAAAAAGGCAAGATAATGCACAATATGTACTGTGCTGTTAAGAAATAGAGGAGATAAAAATATATTCCTATTGCCTTGCTTTTGCTTAGAGAGAGATTAGAAAGCTACAGAAGGAAATGTATGCTGTGTATACATTACCTTTGTGATTAAGAAAGGCAAACCAATAATAAATAAGGCAGCCACCAGCCCGCCAAAAAAGAGAAACATCTAGCAAAACCAAGTGTTCTCACAGATGTGGAATAACAAGAGCTCTTATGCCTGGCTAGAACAAACATTAATTTATACAAATCATTTTGGAAAAAAGCTTTATATTAATTAGTAAATGGAAGATAAAGTCCATGATTCATTAATTCCATTACTTTTTTTTTTTTTTTTTTAGGCAAGGTCTCACCATGTAGTTAAGACTGATCTGGAACTCACTATGTAGCCCAGGCTGGTCTCGAAATCACAGAGATCCTCCTGCCTCAGCCTCCCGAGTGCTGGGATTACAGGCATGCACCACCACTCCCAGCTCCGTTACTATTTTTACATCCTAGAAAAAATTGTGCACATAAATGCCATGGTACATGTCCAAGGATATCCACTGCAGGTGGGAGTAAGCCAAACAGTTGTGTACAGAACAGGAATAACTTGGGCTTTCCTTTCTCCTCCTGAATGGTCTTGCACCTGTATGTGAAGTTATTTGACACCATAAGTAGTGTTTCATTTCTGGGCTCTCAATTCTGTCCATTGCTCTGTATGTCGGCTTTATACCATTGAAATAAGATTATGTCATCGTAAACAAAGGCAATTTTAC